TAATAATAATAATAAGGGAAATGACCTTGTGAGACCCTCCCACACCCATGTTTGTAGGACCTCAAATGATCACCATTAAATTTGGTACATATATCTAAAAAAAGTCAAGTCTCACACCCATGTGATAACTTTTCTAGAGATCTGTGTCAAATTTAATGATGATCCTTTAGGGTCCTACACACATAAGAGTGGGAGGGTCTCATAAGATTATTACTCTAATAATAATAAAGATCATTTTTAAGTTCTTAAACACTTTGATCTAGTCTCAGTTCAACCATAGGTTGCAAGTGATATATTTGTATGAGTTTTTCCTTCCCTTTTTAAAATGTGGCTGCTTCCTAGGTTATTGATGTTTATCGTGAAAATTTAATACCCTAAAAATACTCCAAATTAAAGTTTTACACGAGGGAGTGGATGTGAGATATCGCCTGTAGTCTTTTAACTATTTATAAAAGGATGAGGTTTCTATAACGCCTAGGCTTAATGAAAACAAAATAAATCTTCACCTCAAATCTTCGTCCAGAAAGTTCTTTTGGTGATAGAAATCTATATGATGCTCTAAATAAATTCCAAACACCGACAATAAAATTTGAAAATAAAAAAATGGTATATATCTTACGGATCTATAAATATTTTAAGGTAAAATGAATGGTCTAGATATTTTAAGGTAAAATGAACAGTCGAGATGATAGATGTAAAGGTTTTCCAATACTTGCAATTTTTGATGAGTTTGATGAGTTATAAAGTGAGTATTTACTTGCAAAGTAAAGGTTTTCCATTACTTGCAATAATAATGACAGTACAATGGCGTTTGAATATGGTACACTATGATGCATCCGCTATCGTAATGGAGGGCAGAGATTAACCCTATTTTTGAACAATGGAATTTCATTTATATACATCCCTTTGCTATTAGAGTGAGAGAGAGAGAGGGAGGGAGATTGGACTTCAGCTTGTTGTTAAGGTTCATGGCATAAAGACCTGAAACCTATTGCCTGAATTGCATAAAGCTATATTAAAAAAAGAGGAAAAAGTTTAAATAAGGTTGCAAATGTAGAATCAAAGATGCATATCAAAAGTTCATCATAAAAGGTTGTTTGGATTTTGGAAAATCCTGTAATTAATCATCTCGACATCGAGATGTGTGAGTATGAATAGAAAAAAAGATTTCGAGGTTACGAAATAGTGCATCTTGCAACACATTATATGGACTGTCAATTTTCAAGATTTTTATGTATTTATAGATCCACTTGATTTGAACCATTTTTAAAGTTTAAAATTTTATAATTAGAGATGAAAATAGATTCTTAAACCATCCTAAAAAATATTTATATCAAAATTATATTTATCATAAACTTTAGAGGTGCACCTTAATTGGATTGTTTAAGGTTGCAACCTTATGGAAACCACACCCAAACAAGAACCTGTACCCTCACACTGCTGCATCTCCCTCATTTTTCATGCATTCAATAAATACTAACCTATTGCATCAATTTTTGTGAATCTCAATGCAAGTTTTAATGTTAATGCTCATTATTTTTATGTATGGACTCTCTCTCTCTCTCTTTTTCTGGAGAATGTCTTCGAGTCAGGATCTATCAAACACAATATGGAAATTTTTGCACAAAGATATCACAATTACTTGTAGCCATTAAATGTTAAATTATCACTTTAAAGTATGTCACAATGTTCAAGAAATGGGTAGCTAATCTTTGATCTTGATTTTGGTATAATAACAATAGCATACTTTGGCATGCGCTTGTATCTACATTTCGGGCAGGTTTTAGGTGCATCCTAAACACAATTATTATCGTGAGTTTACCCATCCAAAATTCGCAAAGGTTTTAGATCCAAAATGGTGTAGACTTATCATTTAGACCACCACCATCATGAATTTTAAAAAAGATTATTTTTTTGTTTTTAGCATTGAAAATGGTCCAACTTTCTGGAGCTCCAAATTCAAGAATTTGAGGCAAAAATGGATTTTCAAAAAGTGGACCTAAAACCCTTGAAACCATATGAACGTATGATTCGGCAACCTCACTAGAAGCTTTTAAAATGTGCATAATATGCTCCTGGGGCAGCATATTTTATATCTACTCCCTCATCAGAAGACCTACTTGGGGGCTTTATTTAAATCTAAAATTTCGGGAACCACCTAAAAGTCACTAGATGATTATTTTCAAAAGAAAGAAATTTAATTTTGGATTTTTTAACACTTAGATCTCACCTTCCAAAACTTGGGTGGTCTTGCAGAGTTCTTGGGAACCCTTAGCTTGCGGAATAGAGAATCCCAAATGTCGGGATCCCACCCAAGATCGTGTACATGATTGATTAAATGTGAAGTAAATGAATACAATTATAAATTTAGTGCAAGAAATAAGTCAAACATAAAAAAAAAGCATACCACAACAACACACGATTTATGTAGTTCGCCATGTAGGGCTACATCCATAGCCTCGGTAAGTAGAAATCCACTATCACAATGAAGATTACAGTTTTGGGTTACAAGAGATATACATCTCTCTAAACATCGGTAAAATGCCATCACCGATCTTTCCTTCTAAATTTGTTCTTCCAAACAAGCAACACCGTTGATCTCTATCTTCTTTCCCTCCACAAAACCGCTACCGAAAAGTTATCCTCAAGAGAAACCGAGAGATTTTCTTTCTCTAGAAGTTGAAGCTTTACCAATCACAAACTCATGGGAATACCGTCTCTCCTTCGGAGGCTATGTCTCTCTCTTGGAGATCCATCTCCACATAGGAGATCCATTCCCATAAAAAAGATTGGTATTATACCTTTTTTGCCTCCCTTATATAGAGTTTTTTTTTCTATTTTTTTTTACTATAATACCCTTAATCTTTAAAAGAAAATATGGGTATGGTGATTTGGCTATCACCAAACCCAACAGGTATGTCTTCAACCTTGAGACATTATTTTCTTTAAGTGCTTAGGGAGTAATTAGGAACTTTTTTTTTTTATTGAATTAGGTCTATGGGTTGAAGAGGTTACGTTCCAAAATTTGGGCTCCGAAAGTTTGTAAGGTCTATATTGTACTTCTAAGGAAATAGTATAATTATTCTTTAATAAATGATCTATCCAAACTAGACCAAAATATTTCCAGATGTTTTGGAATACATAATGATATGTGAAAGAGGTCTTCGGTAGTGAATACGTCCCTTTTTTTCTCTTACATCATGAATGCATAACTCCATTTCAAGATGCTAAAAGAAAAGAAAAGAAGATAGTTTTTTCTTTCGAAAAAAGTTATATATAAGGAACTTCGTATAAGTAGGGTTACAATAATCTTACTATCTATTTTAGTTGTTTGATGTATCGAAGCTATCTTAAAAAGTGTGTCAAATTTTATCGGTCTTAAAAGTCGTGTCAAATTTGCACCACCATGCAATTAAAAATGCTGAAAACTAACTTCTACAAACGACGTTACTGCTTGGAATAGACCACGTATTTTATTTCCTACTATATAAGACATGGGAAAACTGCAAAGAATGCTAGCAATAATGGACTACCATAGCATCGTTAACCGCCTTAATTTCTGTTGAAACATGATTGTCTGCTAGCTACAAAATCCAAAACCCACAAAGTTAAAAAACTTTCACCTTATCCATTCTCTATTTAGTCAATTTTTCCTGTGTATGGGCTTTTGTCTAGGACTCACATCACATATTTCAATCTCTTAAAAACAAAAAATGCAAACCTTCTATGACTAGTCTAAAAATAATCATTCTCAAAATTTCATCCAACTGAAGTAAATAGTGGCAACAGACCATAATGGAATTTGAATTAACAACTCAAATAGGCCCTCCAAATGTTGGCAGTAGTAACAGTAGTTCAAATAATGCTTTCAGTAAACCATCTTATTAAGGGCAACAACAACATTCTGTTTTTCTAGTACCATGGAGATGGTGCTGGCTCTGGTATTGGCCATGGCATTGGAGCTGGTGGTGGGGTTGGGGTTGGGATTGGAGCCATTGAATCATAGACAGTGATCTTCAGTTTTTGGCCACTTTCACAGTGATACCCAAATGAGCATATGTACCATTTGTTCCCGGGGGTAGCCAAGGTAATTGCGTCAGCTCCTGTGGTCAAAATCCCATTGTTTGGCTCCTCTTGGCAACTTTGGAAGCCCTTTCCATCAACCTTCACAACATTGTGCTGTCCTTGGTGATAGTTGAATGCTGCAAGAGTGTAAGAGAGAAGTATGATTTCAATGTTTGTAGAAAAAGCCGCTTGAAAAGAAGAATGAGGTTCATGACCATATAAAAAGATGTTGGATTTTGGCACTTATGTAAACATTCTGAAAACAAAATATGTTGCATTTCGGTAAGGGATGAAAATTATCGAGTTCTTTTACTCAGTATAGTGTAGGGTGCTCGGACCGATCACCGGCCATCATACTTATAAATGGATAGTGAAGATGAGCCTTTGTCATGTTTTCTGGAGGAACAATTCCTCATCTCCACCATCTGTTGATAAGTAAGGACAATTCAATCGGTGCTTCTTCTAAGCACTTTACAATATAATGAGAATATTATTCTGGTGTTCATATCTAAGATCCATCATCTATTGCTTTTATAGATGGTGGATTTGAGTAGCTTTTCCCACAAAAGAAAACTATATATTCAAATAATTAGGCAACAGGTCATCACCAACCGTCCTAGAATAACCATAAACGGTGTATACTAGGTCTGAGTAACCTATTTTTATGCACGAACCCATTTACTTTCTAAAACGGGGTCTAAAACCTAAACACAGGCTTTCAAAAAATTGGAGATTCCTATTTCTATATCAAATAAAATTAAAGAACATAGAATAAAATAAATGGTTGCACAAAAATGTCATGGAAATTACTTATAGTATCCCCAACAAAGAATGTTTTGCCTTCAGCCCAATCCTCATAGCTAACACCTACGGTCCACCCCATCTCATCCCCAACAATATAATTAGTAGCAAGAACAATAGCTGGGAAAAAGGTAATGGCAATGAAGAGGATGAACTTTTGGGCCATGGTTTATGGTCTTTTAGGGTTCCTCAGGCTCTCTTAATTGCCCTATTCTTAACCTCTTTGTGTTAGAGCACCTCTATATAGTGCAAGGGACCACACACAAACAAAAGTCACAACTTGTTTTTAGGTCTTAAATTTTTAGAAAGATTTAGGGCGGCCGTATCTTGGGCGGATAAGTTGATGTTGTTTTGCCTTGTGGCCGTCTGAGTTGTTGCTTAATGGCTTTATAATTAATTAATATACTAGAGAGGAATAACACAATGTCTAGTTGTATTTTCACAAAATTGTTTTCATTAGCACTTGGTCAATCCCAATACGGCCGTACGACAATAATTATATGTTGTGATCCTCACTTGGTGATACGTTCTAAGGAATGGAAAGACTGATGGCATGTTGGGTTGGCGTGAAATTGTTTTTTAGAAAATATTTTCATATAAAAAAATTCTCTTTCGTAGATAAGTTAGGAATATTTTCATACTAATTGGTATTAGTGTATCTTTTCACATCAATTGACAATTAATTGGTATAAAAATATTACCACACTTAATTACACAAAATTTTTTTCATTTGAAAATATTTTCAGACTTGCTCTCTCAAGAGAAAATATTTTCAGACTTGCTTTCCCAAGAGAATATTTTCAGACTTGCTTTCCCAAGAGAAAATAGTCATTAGGGGTGGCAATGGACTCAAACCCGACCTAGGACCCGATGGCTAGACCCGACCTTGGTCTGGATATGAGTCCAAAAATTGAACCCATTGGGTCGGCTCCAGGTCCAAATCTTAGACCTGAACATTGTTTGGGTTCGAGTCCGGGTTTGGATCCCATATTTCTCAATTTATGAAAATATATTAAAATACATTTAAATACATAGATATTTTAATTTTTGAGTCGGGTCCAATCAAGTTCGAATCCAAATCCAGGTGCAACATTATATTTTCAAGTCCGGATCCGGCCGGACCAGCCGACCCGTTGTTCACCCCTACTAGTGACAGTCCAAGAGTTAAAGATTTACCGGAGAGTGTCTTAAAAGATCATGCACAAATATTGAACATGGACGGTCTGTTTTTCGGACAATCAAATTCAAGTGTTTAGGAACTGAAATCATTTTTGAAACTATCCACTAGTTGTGTACCGGGTGACTCGAAAAGTTTTAAATCAAACCATTCCTCTGAAGTGGCTATTTTGCCAGAGGGAGTAGGTGTTCCCCTTTATTTGTTGTTTAATTGTCAAAAAAAAAAAAAAACATGGCGAATAAGTTTATCACCATCAATCCATTGGTTGAACGATGGCAAAAAAAAGGACATATAACCACCTAAGTTGGAATAAATCTCTCCATTACCATCCATATCAATGGTAGCCAGTGATAACCTCAGTCATTGGGTTGTGATGACCATATGGATTATACTACATACGCTCGTATATACATACACATGCATGGAAGTTGCACCATGGGAAGTATTCATAGTTGATATCTGACGGCTAGGGAGAATGCGTTTTTTGCTACGGTAACATCACACCACTCAT